GAACTCAGGCCCTTGCGCTTGCGCAACAGGCGGCAAAACCACTGGGCTAAATCCGCGTCCCTAATTTTTAAGCATAATATTTAGTTATGCTTAAAAATAAAATCTAAGGTGGGTGTGGTGGTGCACACCTGTAATCCCAGCACTCTGGGAGGCTGAAGCAGGAGGATTACCTCAAGTTCAAGGCCAGCCTGGGGTATCTAGTGAGTTCTCCGACAGCCTAAACAATATAGCAAGACTCTGTCTTAGAAATCAAAAACATTAATAACATTATCCAGTGCCCAGCTTGTTTGTATTTAAAAATATCTTTTAGCTGGGAGTGTGGCTCAATTGCAGAGTGGATACAGAAGGCACCCGTGTCTGGGTTGCTTTGCCCTGTCTCTTAGATCTTCTGGTTTTCCAGCCTCATCATTGAGAACTTGAAGGGAGAGCTGGGTTCAGGGACTGCAGGAGCAGGAGGAATTACTGAGAGATGAGAGAAAGAGAATGCAAGCAAGGGGCTAGGTGGGGAGGTGAAAGGACAACAAGAGGGAAGGGGAGGAAGCAAGAAAGGGAGAGGGCGGAAGGCAAGAAGGGAAAGAGGAACCAGGAAGGGCGAAAGGAAGGAAGAGAGAAAGAAGGGTGACATAAAAATCCACAGGTCATACCAGGCCCCAGGTTGGTCCCAGCCTCAGAGAGAAGGAACAGTTCTCTCCCGGATGGATCCAGGTGGGTTGCAGTGTCTGAGGAGGCTTTTAAAGCAGCCATCCGTAAACACTTCAACAAGCACTGAGGAGGGGCTCCATCTCCCTCTCCCTCCCTCCCACCCCCTCCTCTCTGGGGACTGAACCCAGGGCCTTTGCACTGAGCTAAATCTCCAATCCTCTTTTTATTTTTTTAATTTTGAGACAGGGTCTCACAAAATTCCCAGGTTGTCCAGTCTGGACTCAAATTTTGGCTCCTCCTGCCTCAGCCTCCCAGAGTCCGGGGGTTCCAGGATGCGTGCCATCACCCCGGGCAAGGAATTCTCTTGAACCAAATGAAATCACTGAAAAATCTCTGCAGATAAATGAAGTTATAAGAAAGAACCAGATAGAAAAGATGGAACTGAAAAATACACCAACACCCCCCACCCCCCACCCCTAACTTGGCACACATTGTCTTCCTGCACCCTGAGTAGCATCCTCTTGCCCTCCCCTGATTATAGTTCCTTTCTGGGCACCTTGAGAGGGGATGTGTCAAAAATGTAAAAAAAAATGTGTGAAAAAACATAAACTCAGCCTCAGTTTCTCCTACTGTCCACTCACGAGGCAGATCACTCCTGGGGGCACAAGCTGGGTGCCCTCAAACACAATTTAGTTCCATGCTGCCTACCTGGGATGGTGTCAGATCCCACAGGTATGGGTTCCGACCTCCTCCACATGCCGGTCACAGCCGGAGGTGTCTTACCTGGACTTCTGCCCGTCCCGCTATAAACTGGGGCTCCCATGAGCACCTCCTTGGGCTCCCCTGCTTGGTCCAGAGGCTCACAGTACAGGGAAGCGCTTTGGGTGCTATTTAGTACTCTGGCAGAGAGGTGCAGGGTTCGGGGGAGCCCTGGGCACCCCCTCCAGACCTTCACTCTTCAGCTACCCAGAAATTCAGGTTCTCAAAGACGGAGTTCCCTGGGCCTGACTGAGTACAACCTCGGCCACTGGCGATCACCTCAACCTTCAGGCCCATCGCCACCCACAAAGGGGGGTGGGCTGGCTGATTCCAGCCTTTCCTTGCGGGTGACCACCACATCCCCAAGTCCGTGGGATGCTGCCAGCCTAGGGTCAACTCATTAGCACACGAAGACCCATAGCTTCAGAGATTCTAGGACACAGAGCTGGGGAGCTTCGCCTGCCAGGAAATGGGGATGAAGACCAACTGTGTATTGTGCAGTGTCGTTGCAGGGTGCGAGGCAGGTGCTCCCTCCTGCCCTCTGGAAGTGGATGCCCCTTGCATTCCCTCCTGCTCCACCCCTTCCCTTTGGCCTTTTGGAACTTTCCAGCTGTCACTTCCCAGACTGCAAGAGGTGAGCTCTCATCCCACAGTGGTGAGGTGACTCAGAGGGATGGCCAGTGCGCTGGAGGAGGTGACAGCATCCTAAGACCCACTGGGATGACAAGCGACACTCTGCCTCCTACCTGCAGCTGGATGTGAGAGGGCTGGGTGTCTGTCACCTGGACTGAGCTGCTGGAGGGTGAAAAAGAAGCCAGCAGCTTCTGAGGCCATCTTGTCACCAAGGGAGCCGATGCCTAATAACCTAATAACTGACAGAGAGACCAATGCCAGGACTTCTGCGTCCCCAGCCTGGCACATGCCTGCCTCTTCTCCTCCTCTCTTCTCTTCCCTTCCCTTTTCTTCTTCCTCTTTCCTTTTCCTTCTCTTCTTTCCTCTTTTTTTCCCATGGTACTGAGGATTGAACCCAGGGCCTTTACACTGAGTAATATCCCCAGGGCTTTTTGGGTTTTATTTTGAAACAGGGTCTCACTAAGTGACTAAGTTACCCAGGCTGGGCTTGTATTTTTTTTTTTTTTGGTACCGGGGATCGAACTCAGGACCTTGCACTTGCAAGGCAGGTGTGGTGCCACTGAGCTAAATTCCTGGCCTGGGCTTGGATTTTTGATCCTCCTGTCTCAGCCTCTCAGAGTGCTAGGATTAGTCTTTTCATAAGGTGAGCTAATACTTTCCTTTGTGTTTTATTCCTTTAAACCGGTTTGAGTTGGGTTTTCTGTCACTTGGAGCTTTGGGAGTCCTAATACTGGGGTCTCGGCATCTAGCCCTTCTTGGAGGTCACAGGGCAGGCTGCTTCCAGCCTGTGAGCACTTTGGCAGGAAGCCCAGGAGGGGACCCTCTCTTTACCGCCAGGGAATGGGGAAGCAGGTTCTCCCCCCGCTCCCCACCTGAGATCTGTGCCCCTCTGCTTCCGGCCTCACCTCTGCCCCAGCTTGTCCAGTTTGGACTTCTCCATTGCTCTGTCCCTGGACCTCACCATTTCCCTCCATGGCAATGATGCACACCTAACTCGAGGGTGGCAAAATGCAGGACACCTGGCTAAATTTGCATTTCAGATAATAAAGCATTTTTTAGTATGAGTCTATCCTAAATAGTGCATGGAACGTACTTATGAGTTAAAAAAAAAAGCATTGTTTATTTCAAATTCAAATTTAACGGGGTGCTGCATTTAAGATTTGCTAAATTTGGCGACTATCAAAAGCAGTTCACTCCAGGCCAGTCTTAGAAGAAACAAGCCAGGCAGTGGGCAGAGGGAGCGGTGTCCAGATGCAAATCCCATGCCCGCAGTCCTTCCAGAGGCCTGCACCATTCACAGAGCAAGTCAGCACAACTGTATGGCTTCCAGGTCAAATCCAAATGTCATCTGGAGAGAAAACATATCAACCATCAACACTCCAGCGTGAATTAGCTTTCAGTCATGCATTCACTTTTTTCTGTTGGCCACTCTGAAGGAAGGAGGTCCCAGAGAAACCAAACCAAACCAAACAAAAACCCAAGGCAGCCCAGACTGGTCCTGGGTCCCCTTCTCCTGGACTCCCACCATGCGACATCTTACGATATGCATGGTTCTCTTATTTTATCTCTAGTGGAGATTCGATGCAACTGTTACCGTGGTCCCAGAGCTGAAAGGACCGTCCATGGTCAGAGATCTGGCAGAGACCTTTGTGATCAGCCATCTCTGAAGCACAGTCCCTTTATGGACCTTTTGATTGAATGCAGACTTCCTGTGCTTGGAGTGGGGATGTAGGGTCAGACTGCACCACTAGCTGTCACCCTCTGCTACTTCCTTGCTAACAGAGTGCCCTCTGCTCGGGGCAGCAATGTGACCTGCTTAACATGTGCTTCCCAGCCTGCCTTGCAGCTGGTGGGCAGCCCCAGGATTCAGTCCTGGCTCCTGGGATGTCACAGGGACTTGTTAGGTTGACGAAGATCTGGCTCTCCTGATCAGCTCCCCCCTCTTACTTTGGGGTCCCTCACAGACCAGGAGCTTGGTGTGATAGACACCCCAGGAATCAGAACACAACCCAGGTGGGCAGCAAGGGCTGGGGATGAGCGGGTCCTTTTGCATTGGCTATAGACAAACAAATCCTATTTATTCAGGCTGCCCCCACCCTGCCCAGCAGACATGCAAAACTTCTGGAGATGTTTTTTTCACTTTTATTTTTATGCAGTAGTAGAGACTGAGCCCAGGGCCTTCTTGCTGAGCTGCATCCCTGGCCCTCTTTTCATTTTTTATTAGAGACAGGGTCTCGCTAAGTCACTAAGTTGCCCAGGCTGGGCTCAGAACTTGCTATCCCAGAGTGCTAGGACTGTACGTTTGCATCACGCCAGGTGTAGGGTATTTCTGACTGTCGGATCAAGGGGGGGCCGCTGGCATCTAGTGGGCAGAGACTGGGAATGCCGCTCAATATCCCAGCACAATATCCCAGCACGTGCGGACACTATATGGAGGGAGGGAGCTGCTTACACAGTAGGGTGTTATGTGGTCCAGATGCCTGATGTACTGAAGGTGAGACAACCTGATTTATACCAGCGGGTTTTGTTGTTGTTTTTCACAATTTTTTTTTTGGTACCAGGGATCGAATTCAGGACCTTTCGCTTGCCAGGCAGGTGCAGCAAGCACCACTGAGCTCAATCCCCAGCCCTTTGTTGTTTTGGGACAGGATCTAGCTATGTAGCAAAGGCTGGCCTTGAACTCACTCACAGCTGTCTTCCTGCCTCAGCTCCTCAAATGCTGGGATTACAGGTGCACACTACCATACCTGGCTCTTAAGCCACTGTTGACCATGAAGACCCCAGCACAGAAGGCAGAGTGAGGCCCAGCAGGGAGGTGTGAAGAGGTCTACTGAAAGAACAAGAAGCTCCTGGTGCAGACAGAAAGGGGCTCCTGGGGGGGACAGCACCCCCACCCCTGCCCCTCCCACACCTCCCTCAGCCCTCCGGGGCCCTGTGACCATTCCACCATGATACCAGAACGCAACTTTTGATACAAACCAACTCCGTTTTAATGTAGAAAACAAACCTCATGTACATAAATATAATTTGGGGGTATAAATAAAGTAAGAAAATAAAAAGAGATGTACATATCAAAATAAATTACTCATAAATATCCTGTTGGAAACTTAAGTGCTGGGGAAAGAATTCTAACCCTTCCCCTGCTGCTCCACAAGTTGTTGGCAAGACTTGGGGCTTTCGAACATTTTTTTTTCTGCTTTCAAATGAGGGGGGCACAGGCTGACAGAACGTGATGACTGGTGACAGGGATAAGGGCTGGACAGGGTGGGAGGAAGGAGGGCAGGTGGCTGGCGAGCTGTTCTGGTCGCTATCCAGATTGGGAGGAGGTGAAGGGCCCATGCTGGCTGTGAGTGTGACCCAGGCAGGTCTGACTCCCCAGAAACTCGAGTTACATGGCTAGGTTGTGCTCCTGGGCCCGGCTGTCTTTACTGCCTGTCCCTCTCGGTGGCCCCTGGGTCATCCACCCAAGGACACCAGCCTGTGCCTAGCTGAGAGCCACCTTTGTGTGGGGCGCTGGCCATGTGGAAGTGAGGGAGCAAGTGATGATCTTGTCTCCTGGGGGGCGGATGGCCACTCAAGTGTCCACCAGAGTTTACCCACCCAGAACGAGCCCCGGGGACAGTTCTCAACAGGTTCCTGGCTGTAGAGGGGCTCCAGGCTTTTTCTGCTCCCAAAGCCTGGCTGACTTTCTGATCAGGAGGCATCTGGGGGATTCAAATGGTCCTTGGAGTCGAGATCCGGGTCAGTTCTCATGTGGCAAGTCAAAGTACCTAATGTTTCACCTGGATGTGAACTTTAACTGCTTACCTTTTGGTGGCCCGTGCTGAAAATGGTAGAAAGAATTATAGAAGTTTGGTTTGGGATTAGGAAATTTCCCAAGGAGAATGAATTCCCCATCAGTGGAAGTATTCAAGAACCGGAGTAGCACAGTGGCTTGTCCAGCAACCAAGGTACCTGCGTAGGGGGCTTGGGAAGCAGCCGGCAAGTGGAGGGCTTAAAATTTTATGATCAGACAAGTCTATCTGCTAGAAACTGGCAGAGCTGATGTAAAAGTTAGAATATGTACAACTTCTAAGGTTTCTTCCTAAAGCTAAACCAAACAGGGTCTCAGGACTGTTCCCAAGGAAGCACCTCAGAGCCCCGGTTACTTCTGGAAGCTGGGGCTCTTCGCCAGCCCAATCTCACTGGCCATCCCAAACGGGTCCATGCTGTCCGTCTTCAGGGGCAATGAGAACGCGGATTCCTCCTCGTCGCCGGGCTCCACCGAGGCCTTGGGCAGCATGGGCAGGAAGTAGGACAGGGGTACCACGCCCTTGCTCTGGTACTGCTGCCTCTGTTTCACACTGCTCAGAACGATTGGGAGGTGGTGCTTCTGGGAGCGGTACACACTGTAGCCTGGGTAGCTGATCTCCTCCTTGAAGGCACAGTCTTCTTCAGAGTACCAGGGCTGCGGGGGACGGAGAGCATGAGTACTGTGGGCAGCAGCCCAGACACTGCAGAAAACGTGACACAAGGGGACAACTGTTCCTCTCCGGCACCAACTGACCCCGGAGGCTACCATTAGTGGGTTTCCATCACTTGTACTTGCATTACATATACATATATGTAAGCACATTGTTTACAAACTTTATTATACATGTATATATAATCCGTAATCATATTAAGGCACAATAGCATATGAATATAGTAAATATATTTCACGTCTTTATAAATCCTTTATAATTTTTATACACATGTATACATTGGCTATAAATTTTATATCTATGTATTTAAAAAATTTTTTGGTACCAGGGATTGAACTCAGGATCTTGTGCTTGCAAGGCAGGCACAGCACCATGGAGCTAAATCCCCGGCACCTCTATGTATTTTTTACATAGCTACTTAGTGTGTATATACACTTAATATTACTCCTCAATATTTCCCACTAAATCATCTCACTTTTTAAACTTTGCCTTGTCCTAAGCAATAAAACCATAGGCATGACATGTGCATTTCCACACCCCGCCCTGCCCCTACTCTTACTATTTACATTTTAAAAGTTCACCGTATTCCACTGGCACTTTCGGCAACTCTGACCAAACATGGGATCATTTTAGGATTGGTCTTTTGACGAAGAATTACAGGTGCCCCCATCTGGGCTCAGGGATAGAGCGTCTATACCGGCAGTAATTGGGAGCCTTTCTAAGCATTAGCCCCCTCCTGCTGCTCCTTCATTCACCACAGGAACTTTCCGTCCTTGAAGGACAGCCTACCAAGCACAGCCCCCTCCCCCAAGCCCAGACCAGCGGGTGGCCGGAAATGTGTGCCGTAGGAAAAAATCCCTTCAGTCCCCAACCTTCCTAGTCCCCAGGCTTGAGAGGTGCTCGTGGGTGAGTCCCACTGCAAACTGGTGTCGTTACCCCAAGGGGACAGGAGGAAAGCCTAAGGCTGGGAGCCGGGAGGCTGCTTCCTAAAGCACTTCTTTCTGCCAGAGTCTCCAGAGGTCACTGAACTGCAGGTGGGTAAGTTATATGCTGATAAGGCGCTGAATAAGAGTCTAATTGCCAGGACCCGCTGCTCCTGCCCAGGCCAATGGCACAGCAGGGCACAGCCAGCAGGCCAGCAGGGGCAGTTTCGTCTGAATTTCTGAAAAATGCAAATTGTAGATAAACGAGAGAAGTATTTTACTCTTCTGGTTCTTTGGGAGAAATTAGTAGCATCCTTTCTCCATACAGAAAATGAAATCAAGTTTGAGTTACAAAAAATAAGTCATTTCTATTAAAAAAACCAAAAAGGATAAAGTCTTGAAGTTGTGCTAGGCGATGGCCAAGCTACCAAGAGGCAGGAAAGGACTTTAGTGAAAAACTTCTACAGGCCCCCCACTTTGGATTCGATCTGCATGGGGGCTTTACACCCAAAGCCTCTGCAGGGCCCTCCCACCATTTGTGTCCTTGTAAATGTCAACATAACAAAAGTGACAAAGGCAGGTTGGGAGTGCTTTGGGGCCAACTTTCAGCAAGCAGATCTCCCTCCATTTTTTACCATCTTTTCATACAGATAAACAGAATAAGTGGCATTGGCACAAAACAAATTTGAGACTCTTAAGATGCAGAGTTCTTCGGCCCCTGCAACTGGGGGTGGGGTGGGGGCGCGTCCCTGCAGGCGCCCGCACACACGCCCCTGCCCTGGCCCCTGTTCCTCCCAGGGAGCCCCAGGCTGTGTGGGAGGCCTGGCCTCCAGGGACCTCACACAGCCTCTTCTAAGCACAGTTCCTTTGAACTCACAGCCTTTGTTCATCGACCAGAGCCCCCTGCATCCACACTCTTCCAGCCTGAGCCTTCAGTGGTTACCTGGGCCTTCCCAGCCCACCTCCAAACTCTCTAACCCCCAAACCAAAGTATTTTCAGTGCAAGTGAGCTGTTGGGGTGGGGCATGGCAATGAAGGATTATTCTAATACATCTACATCTTTCACCACATTGTTTACCTGGTACACAAAAATTAATTAAGAGGCTGAGGCAGGAGGATGGAAAGTTCAAGCCCAGCCTAGGCAACTGATGGAAACTCTTGTCTCAAAAAAGTAGGGGCTGGAGATGTGCCCCAGGGCAAAGGGCCTGAGTTCAATTCCCAGTACAGAAAAGCAAACAAACAAAAGAAAAAACCGAAAAGAAACCTCACCAATCTCAAGGGTTTTTTGCTTTCGAATTTGATAATTTTGAAAGAAGATACGCCTTCTTTTCCTTATAGTTGAGAGAGAGAGAGCGGAAAAGAGGACCACACGAAAAGCCCAGGCTGAAATGGGGTGAGGTGAGTCTTCCTCTTTAATATCAAAGGGAGCTGCATAATGGGTCTTCTGCGCTGGCAGGGCGGTCTTTAGCTCAATGGCGAATGCATGGCTGCTTTCGCCCATTCTCTAGCTAGTCTTTGACCGTAGGGGGTTGGGGGGCAGCCGAGCATTAGCTTAATCGGCCCTTGAGAGCTTTCCCTCCAAGCTGCATTCGGGTCTAAGCAGAAATGTGAGAAAGCCTATGTTGAGTGCATCCTGCCGCGTGCGGACACTTACCAGGCCCTGCATCCTGCCATCGGGGCCCATGCACAGGTACCGGACGCTGTTTATGTCCTTGATGGCCACGGTCTCCAGAGCGACTGCCCTGATCTCCAGCAAACCTGGGTACAAGGGAAGCAAGAAGCTGCGGCCTGGGTGTCGACCCGCAACACGTGGGCGCACTCGGATCCGGACACCTGCGTCCCTCCCTCGGTCCCCGTGCAGTCTGGGGACCGAGGGAGGGATGGTAAAGCCAGGATGCCAAAGCTGGGGTTCCTGGGAGATTCCGGGGGCCCGCGGGAGCTGAGAAAGGGCGAGGGGGCACGGCGAGGAGGGTCCCCCGGACCTGCGGGCACTCACAGTGCTCGCTCTGTTCCTCCACGCAGTCCACCGCGCCGTCCGTGTGAATGCGCAGGAAGCAGCGCGAGCGGCCGTAGGGCCCCGCGGCGTACAAGTGCCGAAGGCGGATCGGCTGGTCCCATCCGTAGTACAAGTGCGGCCCCTGGTCTGATAGGGCGAGAGACCGCCGGGCCAGGGGGCGCCCCGCCACCGCCAGCCACAGGCCGGCCAGGACCAGGGCGCGGACCACCGCACATCGGCTCGGCGCGCTCTGCATGGCACCTCCGGGAGCTCTGGGCAACGGCGATGCGCTGCAGGGCTGTGGCGCCTGGGCACGGTGCCCTCGAGCCTGGCCGTGAGCTAGGGGGACCTAGGGCACTGCACTCCTGCTCCGAGGGCGCCGTGCCGCAGGCTGGCAGCCTTATATAGCTCGCCTGGCCAGCCCCGGGGGTAGGTGCCTGGGATCCACGAGCATTTCTGATCAGGATTGCATCAAGCCTCCGCCCCCTGCACACACCCTCTCACATCCCGCCTCCTGACCTGGCCTCGGCAGGTGGGCGGTGGCTCCTAGTGCCCGCCCGGGTGACCCCTCCCACGCCTTCCTGATGGGGGAGGGGGGGAGCAGAGGGGGAGCTTATCAGGCTGCCCTGATAAGCAGCTGCTCCCAGAGAACAGCTCTCCCCGGCGCGGCAGCCCAGGGGCTCTGGGTTGAGCGAGTTTAATTTCACGAAGTAGTGGCCAACTGAAGCCCCTTCTCAGGCCCCCTGAGGATGCGCTTGGGGCGCGGCCCTAGCTGGTGCGGAGGACAGGAACCCCGAGACCAGAGATTAGGGGACTTGCAGCTTTGCCTTCTTCATCCCCGGTCTGGCTTTCGCGCCCCTCTTAAAAGACCACATTCCCTGCCTACATATCTATCTCCTGCTGTCCGCTAGAATTTCCCCTTACAGCTCTCTGACTTTATCTTCTCGAGATCCCAGCACATCCCCCCGGGCGCTCATCTTTATCTTGCTAAACTGCAACCCCACACACGCGCGATCCCGGGTCGCAGACACACAATGGGAGCGCGGCGCATGGGGCGGCCGCGAGGTGGCGCTTCAGCCTCAGTTTCGGTCCCCACTCGGCCTGCGCGCCCCCGGCGTCCCGCGCCTTCCCCAGGGGATAGAAGCTAGAAGGGCGGTGGTTTGGGAAGGCGACTTTCCGGCAGGGTGGGCTGGCCAGCTGCAGCGTCGGTGAACTCCCCTTCCCAGCTCCGGCCGCGGCCCCTTTGTTTTTGAGCCGTGCGCTCGAGGTCCGCGAACTGCGCGGCCTGGGAGGTCGGGCGCGCCCGCCCGCGTGTGGGGAAAGGGGGGCCTCGGTGAAGCAGCGCCTGCGGAGAAGGAGAATGCCCTGGCGGGGCAGAAAGGAGTCCTCCCAGGGGGCTTTGGCTTAACTCGGTCCTCGCCCATTGTGCCTCCAATCCCCAGCCCTGGGCGTGGGGGAAGAGCGCACCGGCCCGCGCAAAGGTGGCGGGGAGGGCAAAGCGGAGACGCGGAGATGCCAGGCCTAATGAATTTCAATGAGCAAAGACCACATTCATACCCCCTCAGTGACTGGCGTTAATGACGGAGCGCGCCGAAAATGTCACCAGGAAAGCCTTTAGAAAAAGACATCATCCCCTAGGCTTTCTGGACCGGGGACTCCCACGCTGTGCGTCTTGGTTCAGAAAGCCATGGCTTCTGTTAAATCTAATTACTTCCCCCCTGTGGCTTTCAATCGACGGCGGCTCCTATTAAACTTAATTACTCTCCCCTGCAGCTTTCGTTTTAAAGTCCGTGATAAACGCGGGGTGCTGAGGAGATGGCAGAGGCTGCAGTGGCAGATGCGCCCCAAATCGGGCTGGGGGGATAGAAGCACACACACACACACACACCCCGCCGCGCCCTCTACTCCTTTCTGGGGACGTGGTGGAAAGGGTTTTGAGGATGGCGACCCGGGAACCCCGGCAATGCCTCAAGGGCGATTTAGGCCCCGGGGCTGTGGTCTCAGTTTAAATACCCACTAGCACCCCCAGTATTCTATTTCTCTCATTGAATGGGTGGAAAATAGGGGCCCCAGAAAAGTGGCAGAGTGACCCAAGGCCATACAATCTGCAAATAGTACAGTTGGACTTTGAACCCCGATCGTCTGCTTGTAAACCCAGGCTGTCCTGCCTCCCCCGGAGTGAGCATGGCCTTGTCTTGGGGCTCCCGGTTCAGACCTGCTGTAGCTCAGGGGTCCCCACCTGACCACTCCTTGGGCTGTGGCCTCGGCCTGTGTTCAGTCCTGCGGGACTGTGAATGTGATGACGACCAGCCTGAGGATCAGCCCCGTACCTGGCGTCCCGTCCCGTAGTCCCAGCAGTGTTGTGCGCCTTTAGGCGGTGAATCCTGCCACGTGTGAGGAAAGTGAGGCTTGTGGAGACAGACAGACAGACAGACAGACAGACAGACAGACAGACAGTGAGGGATGCTGCATGAATGGTCGGGTGCCCAGGCTTGAGCATCTGCTGGTGCCTTCTGCGTGGGTCGGAGAGGAACACCACACTGACTAGCAGGGGGCGCTGTGGCCACCTGTCCGGCATGCCAGCGGAGAGCTGGGGGTGCATCAGGTGACAACCTCCTCCCAGAAGGCTCAGACCCTCCTGGGTCTTTGAAGCCCCAATTGCTGTGTCTCCTGGCTCTGATTTTTCAGGTTTCATTTCCTTCAAGTGGCCCAGCGGGCTGGTTCTCCATGTGAGGACATTTCATTCACTGTTTAGTGACGCCAGTGGTCCATGTGTCCTGGTCCCTGCCACAGCCCTGCTTAGGGCAGGGCCACAATGTGGTCTGAGGCCTGCTTGGCAGTAGGGCTTGGCTTGGTGCCTTTGTTCTGATTTCACGTTAGCCGACAAGTGCTTTTTAGGTTTTTGTTTGTTATTTGTTTGGTTTTTTGTATTTGGGGGAGGGGAGGCAGAATTAGAGATTGAATTCAGGCCCTTCACACTGAGCTACATCCCCAGCCTTTTTGTTTTTTATTTTGAGACAAGGTCTTGCTAAGTTCTTAAATTTCCCAGGCTGGCCTCAAATTTGTTGTCCTCCTGCTTCAGCCTCCCAGAGTGCTGGGATGATAGGCATGCACCACCATGAATGGCTCCAGAGGTTTTTCTGTCTTCTTTGTTCTTTGCAGTGTTGGGGATGGAACCCAGGGTCTCACCCAAGCTAGGCAAGCACTCTACCATTGAGCTACATCTTTAGCCCCACCTGAGAATTTTAAACTGCCGTGTTGAACCCTAAATCCTTTTTCTGGGGTTCCCCTCCTTCCACTGAGCTTGTAAAGGTTGTAATTTTCTGATCACAGCAAATACCAGATTGTCATCATTTCTAAACTTGTGTCCCAGTGACTCAGAATACCCTGTTCAGCTCCACGTGCAGGTTTTCTATTATGAAGAGAATCATTCTTCTTTTAATTTGCAGTTAGGAAGCTGTATTCTACTTTCTTCTGGGCATTTCTAAGTACCTAAGAGCCCCCCTGACTCCTTCCCAAGCCCCCTGTTCCCTCATGGTTGAAAATCATTTCGTAATTGGCAAAGTCTGAGAATTGGTAAAAATCTTTATCAGAAAACAAGAACTGCAATAGGGCTTGGGACAAAAAAAAGTCTAACCACTGAACTAGATAGGTCAAGTCAAGGCTAGAACCCAGAATCTGCCAGAAATTCATTATTTCCCCCAAGACTTTCTGATTCACCAAGACCCACCCCCATAAGGATTACTATTGCAAATAAAGGTCATTCGGCTAGTACAGAAATTGGCAGGGGCATGGCCAAGTGGAAAATGAAAGGCTTTTCTGAAGCTCAGTCTCCTTATTTGTGAAACGGCAAAAGGAATCCTTCACAGGAGAATTAGAAAAGAATTTGAAAAATATGCTGAATACTTACAATTAGAAAAATTGTTGCAGTAAAAGACACATTACCGTGAATCTCCCTTGACATAATCCCCCTCACTTTGAACACATTTATCCCATCATTCTTGCCACTTTCTGCAACAGTTCTGGAAGTCCTCTTTTGTGCGTGTCATGGCTCCCTTGATGTCCTGAATGGATTCAGATGTTTATCTTCCATGGTCATTTTGACTTTGGGGAAGAGCCAGAAGTCGCACAGGGCCAGATCTGGTGAATAAGGCAGATGAGGACACACTAATGTTTTTACAAGGCTGCCCTTCATTGGACAGCATTTGGCAGCAAGAATCACTGTATTTTTAATCATACCTCCTAAAGACACTTGGGAAAGAGAACTTCCAGAACTGCTTCAGAAAGTGGCAAGAATGATGGAATAAATGTGTTTGAATCAAGGGGAAGAATTTTGAGGGGGATTAATGGCCATGTGTCTTTTGTTGTAATAAATTCTTAAAATATTCACTGTGTATGTTGATTGCACTTTGTACCTCCATCTACGGATGGGTCAGCATCCCTATGGAGGCTGGCTGGCACATTCGGATGTGTGATAGAAGGGCTAATTATTATTATTCATTCAAATGCCATTCTCTGGCTATTCTTGTGACATTTATTATTAATTTTAAAATTTAATGGCAACTCTAGACAAAGACAAATCCATGGTAACAAATCACAGACCAGTTGTTGCCTGGGGTGGAGATTAACTGCCAGGGTGGAAGAAAGAGTTTCCAGGGTGATGGAAATGCTCTGTGGTGGAGAACAAACCATTGCTGAGATTTGTCAAAAACTCACTGAATTGTGTCCTTTGAATGAAGGTGCATTTTGGGGGTTTCAAAGTAATTTCTAGTATTAAATTTTACAGTTAGAGTAAATTGTGTCTGAATTTCAGACATGCATTCATTTAGATAGTTGACTTTTTTTCCTTTTTCCATTTTTAACGTTGAATTAGAATCATACAACATGGAATTTGACATCCTAAGTGTCGTAAGTATACAGCTCAGTGGGGTCGATACCATCTGCATGTGCCGCCATCACTCCTATCCCTCTCCAGGACCCTTTCATCTGATAAATCTGAAACACTATATATGGTGCATTTTATTTTAAATTATACCTCAAAAAAAAAGGTTGACTTTGAACATTTTAATTGCAAAAGTACCACTTGGTCGTGGTTGAAACTTTGGAAAATCCAGAAAAGCACAATACAGGCCATTTAAAAACTTAGAATATTATTCCTGTACCACAAACTACGGTTTCTATTTGCGTAGAATTTTTTCTTCAGATTTTTAAAAAAGTATATATGTATCTTAAAAAAAAAAACACCTTTCAATTGTAATCTCTGCCCCCCACTCAACTGCAAACATTTCCCTTAGCATTAAATACCCTTCTGATATCTGCTGGTATCCTTCACACCAGCAGATCTGAACCAGGTACCTTGAAGGGCTCCATCTGGTCCTGCCTACTGAACACTGAGACTGTTGCTAATTTCCTTTCCCAGATCACGCAGGGAAGAA